CCGTAGTCTAGGCCTCCTCTTATTTTGTTTTTCAAAAAAAAAACCTCAAACTTTATCGAAATCAACACTCAATCCACACCTTTTAAATGGGCCGGCCTGCCTCCTATTCCAGGAGCTTCCTGATCCATCCAACCCCCCAAAGCCTGTCTATACCACTTCTCTCCCCTCTGTCGTCTCCCTCCGTCCCGGACCCTTCCCCTCCGCCGCTGCCGAGCCCGCGCCAACGCCGCGCCGCGCCTTCGACCTGCAGGCACGTCGCACCCGTGCCGCTCGCCGCCCACGTCGCGGCCCCCACTGCCCGCAGCGTTGGCCGCATGGGCGGGGGTGGTGACCGCACGCCCACCGAACGCGCCTCCGCGGGCGGGGATCCGCCGGCCGGCGCAGGGAAGGCCTCACGAGCGACCACGTCCCCAGGCGGCGCGACTGACACCGGCGCTCCGATCTGGCCTCCACTTCCCCTCTCTTGCGCTTCAATCTCAGCATACACTGCGTCTTTGAGCACCGTGACGGCCCCCTCTGCGACGCCGCCACCTGAAGCACAACTCTGGACCAGACGGTTGCATAGCTCGGCGAACTCTCCTCGCGCGTCCGCAATCGGTTAGTACATGCTCTCCTCTCGGCGTTGATGTGCGTCAATGCGTGGACACCGCGATGACCCGTTCTGCACGAGCCCGTAGCTGATGCTCAGATCTGAATCTTATGTTCTGCCGCATAAAAGCCAAGGCCTGAATCATACAAGCAAATCAATCAAGGGAGTGCATCACAGTGACCACCGCTGCTGCATGCTTGCAGCCGTACATTCGTGCACACAATCTGTTTGATTCAATGCTTTAGAGCCATATTTTCTAAAATATGGCAATCTATAATCGAAACTCCTCTACTCCATCTCTTATGATTAATTTGATGTTCTTACATTAAGAAACCACTTTCAATTCTACATGCTTCAAGCTCTAATATGAATGAGAATCGGGCAAATCCTCAAAAGTGCACACTGAATTTGAAATAGGTTCTCTACTACTTTAATAGCAACTACATATATGTACTTTCCTGATCCAATATTCAGACCCTTTGAAAACTTAATTTCCTGTCCACACATTTCATTTCTATTTATGAAATCTAAAAATATGTAATATGAACTCCTCTACATGCAAGTGCTAACATGCAGCTGTTCTGTGACTTATTTTCTTCAGATTGACTATGTTATAGCAATATAATATGGTGCAAAGCCTGATATAATTTCTAGATATGTTATATTACATTTTAAATTTCTATTCCTCAAAATTTACAGTAGCAGAATCTTTGCTTTTCAAAACCTGAAATATAGTACGGTGCAAACGCTAATCTAATTTCTAAAAATGTTATCTTGCACCTTATATTTCTATTCCTAAAAATTTATGGTAGCATAATCTTTGCTTTCTGAAATCTGAAATTTTATTATACACTAGCATATCTTATTTTTGTACGACTATAATGTCCTGATTCCATATTAAAACTGATACAACAAGTGAACTGGTTTACAAAGTATATTACATTAAACCTAAGAAATAGGATTAACTTCTGCCTTGGCTCCTGATAGTTTGCTTTGCGTCTCTACTGATGCCTTTCGGTGTAAATCAAATTATTACAATAGTTTATGGAGATAATGATATATGAACCCACGATCCTCACTAATCTTTTTATCTGAAGCTGCAAGAAAAAGAAAAGACAAACAGGGCCTCTATTCATAATTAAAAAAGGGAAGAAAACAAGAGGCATATTTTCATCACATAATTTATACAAAATTAATTTCTTTTATATATATGATGATTGATAAATCATCTTGTTTTGGAATCTCCTCAAGTACTACTGCTTAGATTTATTTCTCAAATGTTTTTCTGCTTGAAATTCAACACCTCAGCACAATACTTAGCTCTCAACTCTCTACTCTTGATTGTCATTTCAGGTGCAAATCTCAGGTTCTCAGCAGATACTGCTAACTCCCTTGAGGTGAGATAAACCATATATTATTGTTTTATCTCAAATACAAGGATTTAAAACCAATAAAAAAAGTAGCACTGTCTTATCACGAAGATATATATGAACCGTAGTACTAGATTGATCCTCTGTGGCACTAACCTTTGATATCTGCTTTGTAATTACCCGTTAGTTATTTTCATAACACCTTCTATTCATTTTTTCTTTTCAGTTTACATGGGCACGTGAATCTCTATAATTAGTTAATTACTAATCTTGGTTCATTTTCTTACAAATATTTGCCCAACAGCTTAACTGAAGCAATTCAGCTTAAATATTCTATGCTACTCGGATTTACAATACTTGTATTTATACTACAAACTTAATATCTTGCCTATTGCAATAGCCAATGTTGATATAACACAGTAACTTATAGGTCAAAATGAAATTTGGCCAATACAGTTTCAGCATATTAACTGTGTACATATAATTCTCCAACTACTAAGTGAAATTGTAATATAAACTACCAAAATAAATGCAGTTAGAACTATACAGTTTCAAAACATAAGGGAGCTATGGCCGACGATCACTTCATTATCTCAAAAAGAAAAACAGTGATTTATTGATTAACCGGCTTTCTATTGCTTGATCTTTAAGAATGTCTATAACTGATGGGTTTCTCGAGGATACCTATTATCATCTCTCAGTTTTTTTCTCTCATGTACCTGCCATCAGTTTTGTTAAGTTTTTTTCACGTATCTGCAATTTGAATTTATTATTTTCAAAAGGGATTTTCTTTGTTGTATCTAATATAATCAACCATTTCCTTCCTTTCATATGTAGGATTATACATGGGTAGAGCAAAGAGGAGCAACAAAACCTGTAAAAACTTGCAGGCTCACTCAACAGATGGCGCGGCAAAGCTGCGCTGGTTTTCTAGTTACGTATTTTGTTATAAGAGGGTAAAAGCAAGAAACAAAGGCGGTAACCCCATTGATCCTTCCATGAGCAAACATAATATTGAAAAATTTATAATAAATTTTGTTCCTCAAAATGTCATACACAAAGTTAAGTATAGCTTTGTAACTTTCTTTTAGAAAAAAATAAAAGTTGCAAAAAAAATTTCAACAGTGAAAGTCATGGACATTGTCTGATGGTTCGTTGGTTTCTAATCTATCGAATGTTCGTTGATTAATGAAATCGGTGTTCTTCTGCGATCTCTTTCAGCCTTATCATCGGGCCCAGTAAGAGCATGTCCAAGCACGGGCGGAGCCTTGTGGAGGCCAAACTGGGCTCCGGCCCCCCCTTTGTTTGTGACAGTTTCGACTGAGTAAATCTTGTTTGCTTGTTGCACTCTGCATGCCACCATGCATGCATGCAAGCACACCAGATGCACTATCTCCCCGCATCAGCCCCCTATTGATTACTCTTAAATTTAGTATATTGCTGCTACACCCTCTGTGCTCCGACATTAATAGAATATGAGACAAAGTGTGGAAGTACAATTTGATAACTACATACTGATAATCATGTTTAGCTCATTTCAAACTCTGCATGAGCGCAGCCTGTACAATCATACTAGTAGCAGTATCATTTTCCAAAGTACTCCCACTCTCACGCTCAGGCATGTGCACCGGCCTAGGAAGTGTTCACCAATAGCCATGCTGAGTTTTATGTAGCTCTGCAAAACATAGCAATTGTGAAGTTCCTTTTAATAGCCATTTGTGTCGTGCAATACTGAAATGGCCCTCCCTTAATTTCACCTCACCCTCCGCCAGTCCAAGAGTCTCTCCATATCCTTTCTAAATGTTAGGAATAGAAATTTTGGTGAAAAACTATCCTCCAACGATATTTATAAATGGTCATTCAAATATAACCATCTTTTATTTCGGATTTTCGCTAGCTAAAAATAGAAGACGAGAATGGCTCTCTATAGTGCGCATGAGATATAGAAAAACTGTTGGAGAGTAAAAAGATATAAAAAATAATTTTTTATGTAAATGGCTCTACAAACGATGATCGTTAGATTTACAAAGGCATTTGTGATGCTCTGATATAATGGCATCTCGCGATCGCGAGCAGGGTGGGCCCATTTGTCAAGCATGAAGATGGGCCTAGACGGCCGGAGCATCAGTTTGGGCTGCTAATCCAGTCCGGACCACGGTGAGTCTGACTACTCTTCTGTTGGTCTGTCTTTGCTAGAGAAAATGTGGGCCAGCCCATCATCATCCTAGGCGTGGTTGGAAGCCAACGACCAAGGAACGAGTTTTGGGCCAAAAAAAAAACGTGGATCCTACTTCTGAAAAAAAAAACAGCTAACTTTTATCAAAAATAAAAAGGGAAAAGAAAACACAGCTAACTTAAAGTGGGAGCCGACTTGAGTTAGTCACTCAATCTCTCCTAGTAATAATTTAAGTGAAAAAAAGACGTCGGCACGCGGCGCGAGTGCCGTGGCAGGCCGCCGGCGGAGGGAGGCAGCCTCATCCTGCTTCTGCTTAGAATAACCGGGGCCATTGTTTTGTGCGCCATCGCCTGTCGTCACCGCCGGCCACGTAGCGGAGGCGTGCAACAGCGGGTGAGCGGCCAGCGCCAACCCCAGGATGGCACGGGTTGGGTCGTTTGGCACGGGTCGGGCAACCACCACGGTGGGCGCGCAGGGGAAGGAGGGGTTGCGTTGCGTCCGGCGGGGGCGACCGCAAGGGCCGGGGCGGTGGTAGGGGTTATCGGCCGTGGTGCTGGTCTGCTGGATCGCAAAAGCGCCCCTCGTTTCGTCATCCCCCACCCGGACCGGAAGCCGCAAGCCCAGCGGCGGAAACCACAAAACCACCAAGCCGAGCGTGAAGGCGCCCGAACCACCGCGAGCCCCCGCCCACCACCCCACGAAACCCAAACGCGCCTCCCTCCGCAGCGAGGGATCCCGCATCCCCCCCTACCTGTTTCAATTTTCATTCAAAAGGGCGTGGAGGCGCCGCACCGCCGCCGCCACCCGACACCGACGAGGGAGGAAACGCCAGGCCTTCCCCCCGTCCCCTCCCCGAGCCAGCCCGATGTTGTCCGACCAGGAGCTGGCCCAGTACGTGGAGTCCCTCGTCCAGCACACCGCCGCGCAGGGCGGCACCGGGATATCGGCGGATGCCGTGGTGCGCCAGCTCGGGGCGCAGCTCGGCGTCGACCTCTCCCCCAAGGCGCAGCTCATCCGCAGCGTCCTCGTCGCGCTCCTCGGCCCCGCCGCCGCGCCGGCGCCAGAACCCGCCGCCTCGCGGAAGGACCCTTTCGACCCCGCAACCGCCGGCGGCGGCGGCGGCGGGGCCCGCTCCGAGGCTCCTGCGCAGCAGCTGCCCTTCTCCACCTCCGCCGCCGCCGCGTCGTCGGCCCCCGCCCCGCCCCCCGCCGTTCCCCACTTCTTCCCGCAGCAGCACCAGCACCAGATGCAGTCTTTCCTCTCCGCCCCGCAGCAGTACCAGCACCAGCAGCACCAACGTTCCGGCGCGCCTCCCTCGCCGTTCGACGTCCCCGCGTCGTACCGCTACGGGCACCAGCCCTTCCCGCAGGCCGACCAGGCGCACCTGCAGAGGCTCGTCCAGCTACAGCAGCAGCAGGAGCAGCAACAGCAGTTGGCCGCCGCGGCGAGAGCGGCGGCTGCAGCGGCACCCACTCCGGGGGAGAGCCCCCGTGCGCCGCGCCGGCGCCGGCACCGGCGCCGGCTGGCTCTAAGAAGGACAGGTGACACTTCCTGCACTGTTAGTCCCTCTTCATTTCCCCCTTCGAGTTAGGGTTTGGAGCATCCACTTAGGTGCCAGATGCGCGTGCTCGTGCGGTTACATTTAGTTAGGTAGAGTAGCTTCTACACGAAGCTAAGCTCCTAAACCTCTAGGATTGAAAAATTTCCCTTTCCAGATTTGTTTGGTGATTTGAGGTGGGATTAACCGGAAAAGTTTTTTTTTTTTTGGCTGGACTCACGGTTTGTAGTGGTACGGATTTGGGCTTGATTGTTTCTGGTGGACAGAAATATTTTATCAGGATATGATTAGTGGGGTGAGGTGAAGTGGAAGGAACTTGTTTTCAAGGGCTCCATAGGTTCATTTGAGGAATTTTGTGGTGCTATTTCTACTTGTACTAGACATTTAATGCCCGTGGTTCCAAGCTTAGGGGAGGCAATCGTCTTGCGAGTGTACCTGTGAAAACCTTTGAATGCTCCCGTAGTCATGTCAACCATTCATGCAGAATTAAATCCCCTGAAGTCATTAACGTTGAAATGGATTCGTCAAAATGTTTGCTTTTCAAGCAACCGACTTCAAACAAAGAAGCTTATCCATAACTGTCAATTTGACTTGCAGAGTGGGCTCTGCGTTTAGGTACAACTAGCTGGAACTAGAAAGGAGCCTTTCTGTTTGCTACGCCGATTCACTTGAAAGGAGTTTATGACACTTTATATGTACTAAATCTGTACTACTATTCTGCAAACATCAAACTGTCTGCATGTGACAATGTTCCTGATATAAATCTCGACTCTCACTTCACTCTCTTGGAACAAGATATGGATATGTCCCCTGTTCCCAATTGTCACCTTCGGCTGTCATTTGCTGATGTTCAGCCTGTTCACTGAACTCGCTGTTCTTGTTGTGGCAATGTAGCAGTGCTAGTGCTGGAGCAAAACGAAGAGGTGGTCCTGGAGGGTTAAACAAAGTCTGTGGTGTGTCTCCAGAGCTGCAAGCTATCGTTGGTGAACCAGCCATGGCTAGAACTGAGGTCCAGTCTTTCTAGCACATCTTTCTAATGCCTTGTCTATATGTTTACATTATGGCAGGTAACCTGACACTGTTAATCAATGCAGATTGTTAAGCAGCTTTGGGCGTACATTCGCAGGAACAATTTGCAGGATCCTAACAATAAGAGAAAGATTATATGCAATGATGAGCTCCGATTAGTTTTTGAGACTGATAGCACGGACATGTTCCAGATGAATAAGCTTCTATCTAAGCATATACGTCCTCTGGAGAGTAAAAGTAGGTGTTTCTCCTGACACACCATATCTACTTCTTTTACAAAACAATCATATCTTGTGTACTGAACCTGTGGTCCAAATTCTTGCAGATGATTCGAAACGAGAAGCAAAGAAATTGAAGCCAGAGGGTGGTGAACCAATTCCTTCGGTTGAAACTGATTTTAACCAACTTCCCCTTATGGTTTCTGATGCTCTTGCTACCTTTTTTGGTACGGGAGAAAGAGAAACGGTCCATTCTGAGGCTGTTAAGCGTGTCTGGGATCACATTAAAAGCAATAATTTAGAGGTTTGGATGATTACTATCAGAACTGTTATGTGCTACTGTTCCTTTTTGAAATGTTGGGTCCAACATTAAAGTATTAAACTCCAAGTGGGCTTTGCAAGTAATTTTGTCCAACCTTGGGAAACTAAAGAAGGTCAAAAGAAATGTCTATCTCTGTTTTATAGTACCAGAATATCTGTGTAGAAAAAAAGGGCATAATGTTTTTCAGAAAGTTGGATTACTATTTCTTTTGGGATGAAAATGTAAATGCATCAATATTGGTAACTTGTAATTGCATTCCCTGTGCTTTAAACTGATGTCATACATGAAAACTTGTCTAATTCATGACAATTTTTGTTAGTTGAACCGTTGGACACCCTGCTTGGTCAATATCTGTTTTTCTTACTTGGTAGATCTCTTGCTTTCTATTTTCTATCAGATTTGAGTTTGGTTGGTGGCATGGTAGTTGTTGGTTGATCAACTAGATGCGTACAGTGGTTGTTTCTAGATACATGTTACCGAGTGTATATATTTCACATGTGGTTTAAGTTTTGAACTTGAACTATTAAATGGGGTCAGTGTACTTTTCAATATACTATAACACCATGACGATATATGGGAATCATTATTTTTTGCAAGTTGTTTTTTTGCCTAACCTTTTGACCTATGACAAGAGTGAAGCATAAGCAAAGCATGTTCCATATAAGCCCATCTTTTCCTTTGGTGTTTTCATACGTAATTTGCCAGCAATGATTTTGCCACCTAACATTTCAGTAATGATAAATCTGAACATAAGCATTAGGTGACTTGTATTATTGTCTACTGTACTGCAGGAATCTACTTTTGTCTATGGTGTAGTATAATGCATCCTTCTATTTTCACCTGCCCTTTCTGTTTTCCTTTTTTTGTTTTGCTGCCATGTGAATTGCCTCTGTTCATATTTGTGGTTTGCTTCATTAGTTAACTATTTTTCTGGGGTATATTTTCTGTAAAAACAGATTATAGATACTTGTATAACCATCTCGTGTCTGCATAAGCGCAAACAGGTTGGTAGTCTGATTGATTTTCTTCTCTTGTTATGGTTACAGGATCCAGAGAATCCTACAGTGATACTATGCGACTCGAAACTTAAACAACTCTTTGGATGTGATAGTCTTACTGCTCATGGTGTCTCTGAGTTGCTTTCAGACCACCTTTACAAGCAATCTACCAAGATCTGACTGGTTAGTTATCAGACTCTCTTAATAGCATGCTTATGTAATATTAAGTCAAATATGTTTCCCTGCCTAGTAGTACTTGTTGGAGAACATCCATCCCCTTTTAAATATGTTGCACTAGTAAAAGGAGTGTACTGACAGCAGTCAGATTGGTACTGTAAAGTTTTGAATTAACCAAATTTAGTCATTTTATTTTCACTTTGCAGATTTCTTACATTATGCAGTTTCAATGTCATATGGTAATGCAGGAATATGTGATTGTTTAGCTGTTGGCTGCAGGTGATACATTTTCTGGATTCAGTTGGGCTAACATCCTGGTAGTAGGCACTGATGAAAGGACAAGAAATCCGCTCAAAGTGTTGTATCTTCCATATTGGTCAAGACTGATTTACAGTAGCAAGGAAAAGGGAATGGCAGTTGTGGCATATTATCTAGTGAGACATAGTAGTCCATCTGACTTTCTAGTGTGTTAAATAGGGAGCAGCTTGGATGCGAAGTTTAAAATGACAGCAAGAGCTGATGTACTTTGCCTGATGTAAATTCAGCAACCGTAAGTGCGTTTTCTGGTAAGACGTCGCTTTCTCGTTAGCTAACCTGGAAGCCTCTTGCATTGCTAGTGTCCTAAGTTGACTCGAGGCATCTGTACCCCCCGATGTTATGTTGTAGGTGATACCTAACTTATACAGTTTAGATCATTATCCTGAATGTTCGTCCTTTTTCTTCAACCCTGTATCATCATATCCATCTTATGGACAGTAGTTGTTTACAACAAACAACTACTGTGCATCGTGGCTGGCCATGTTCCAGAATTTGGTATTTCTGTTTCTGCAATGATGCAGACCATTTACAAGACCCCGCAACTGTACAACGCTAGATGATTGTTCTCCTGGTGATGATGATGAACCCTACAAGTTCTTGAACAATGCGTAGAACAGTATCATGACCAGGAGGCCGATGATGACGCAGAAAACGATCGTGCTGCTCGTCTTCTCGTCAAGTGTACCTTCTGGCAGGACCTTGTGCACGATGGTCAAAATTACCGCGTCCAGATTCTACAGTCATGATAAAAATCAAAAACTGTTTAGCCTTTTGGAAACAAGGTTGTCATTGCTACTCCCTCCGTCCCACGACACTTTAGTTATGGATCTGGACAGACATTTGTTCAGATTCATCATAGCTAAAGTATCAACAATTTTAGGAGAGGGAGATACATCAGTGGTAACTTTGTTTCAGAATCTGTTTTCTGTTTGTCATGCATGATGCTTGCCTGCTGGATGGTCCCAAGAATCCTCTGAAGCAGTGGCACGCAGGTCTTGTTCACTTGGCTGCACCAGCAGGAAAACAACACGATTTAGGGCTCGTTCGGTTAGGGGTGGATGAGGCCAGGAATTTTTCCAGCTAATCAAACCTGGTATAAATTAACTAGCAATTCCGGCGGGAATTTTTCCTGAGAGCCATTCCTCGTGAAACGAACGGGCCTTTAGTGGATTCTTTGACCCTGCAGCTACTTCCCTAAGAGTGACGTTGCTGCATACTCCTATGCAAGTATGCGAAACCAGACGCTAGGATTGTTACCTGATGAGCAGGAGGCCCCGGTAGACGTGGCTAGTGGAGACGTTGCAGTCGAGGTCCCAAGGCGGCAGCTTCCCCTTCCATTCTGCACAGCAAACGGTTCCAGCAGGGCTTCAGTTTTGGTAGCCCATGCTGAAACTGATAACTGACCAAGAATTGTTGTTTGACTGACCTAGAGACCACTTTAAGCCCAGGTCGAAGCCTGCTTCGTCCGGCGACGGTTTGAGCACGAACGACACATGGTGCCGGACCATCAGCGCGTGGAGAAGCAGGAACAGGTCCTGCAACAACGTCGTCACGGCCGGGTCAAAAATGCAGGATTGCAGGCATGTTGTATCGTTCAGGATCAGTGCTTTCCTAGGATCTGTGCCTGTACGATCTCAGCTCGTTTTACCTTGCCCAGCTGCGGAACATCAACGGACCGGAGGTTGCCGAAGAAGTAGAGACACTCGTCGCCGAGCAGCTCCCGGACGCTCCGGTTCTGGATGGCCGAGTTGAGCTTCACCATCCTCATCACGGTCCGGAGCCCGTCCCCGCCGCCGCCGTCGCCGAACAGCCCTTGGGCGCGGAACTTTCCGGCGTCTCGTCCTCCTCGGCCCGTCTTGACACACGCCGCTGGCGGCATCCTGCCATCGCGGTGTCTTGGAATGGTTTTGGGACGGTGCTGCTGGTGATGAAGCGATGGGAGAGGAGGAAGAAGACGCGGCAGGGTTGAGTCCATGGAGACAGGTGAACTGAGAAGGGTCTCGTCTGAATGTGAAATGGACGTGCTGCAGCTTTCAGGCGTCTTATACGCCCCAGGTTGGTCTTGGAGTTTTGTCGAGCAGGCGATGCCTGCCCGGCTCGCAAGGAAAGGATTGTTATGTATGAGAGGAGAGAATAAGCCATGCAAGGGTACATGCTCTGACGTGTAGCATGCACACGGCTGCAAGTGCAAGCTAGGTTAATTCACTTGATAAAATTCACTAGTAATTGGGTTTGCCAAGGAAAGTAAGGAAGGATGCTTCTTCCAAACTTGGGTTAGGGTCCATGCCCCCATAATCGGTAGGGTACCCTACATCAATCAAGCTTATATATTCACGGAGTTGTTTAGTGAGCTTCAGGGAGTTTCTGTGCTTCCTCCTTACGGTTGCTTCAAACTGATATGCACTCTTCCATTGTACCTTTTCTTTTACAACACTCTTCATCATTACATAATATGAAACTTACGACATCGGTGACAGCTGGGCTTTTTGTGCTGGGTCTGACATACATTGGGCCTTTGGGGCTGCTGGCCCACACAAAATTGGACTCAAATGTTTGGTAGATCCTTACTAAGTTGAGAAATTTGCATACCAAATTCATCCAATTCAGCCTATGGATGAGGGGGATATGGCCCATAGACATCTGTTATTCCTGTGGGACTTTGGGCTGGATCGAGTTCATCTTTCTCATTCTTTCTTATTGCATCATCCTAAGTCTATGCCCATGTATACCATTTCCAAGATTGTCCCATTGGCCTCAAATTTCATGTCATTTTTCAATACACTCCAAAATATCGAATGTGGAATTATTTCAACTTTTCAAGAGGCCAGTGGCATGCTAGTGTATGAATATGGTCAATAATGCCACCAAAATTAGTTGTAAAATATCTGCATAAGCAGCACCAACAGTATGTAGACGTGTCTCAGCTTTGATAAAACTATGCCTAATTGGTATGGGCAAGTAATATATATTGTATGTGTGTGACTGTTTGTGATGTGATGAACTTCGTGTGGTGGTGCGAAGCTAGATGTGAAATTTTAAAATTATGTACGGATATGTGTGATGCTAGTACTTGGACATTGCCATGATATGCGATGCTATGCATTGGTGTAATGTTTTTTATCTTATTGTGTGATGTTCTTGGCATATTATCATGTATTATATATCTTATTGACACTTGTTTGTCGAGCCCACGGATTTGATGTAAGGGTAGTACATGGCACTTGTTTTTATAAATATGTGCTTCCTATGTTGAAAGATACAAAACCTATGATAATCTCTTCAATGTATTTTATGGTGTATTCACGACAAACAACTTAATAACTAGTGAATTTTATCAAGTGATGTACATATTTAAACATGTATAAGAGACAAATTGACTCATGAAACCTACCAATTCCAAAGGAAAAGCGTCATGTGGACTTTAGATAGGTTTGAATTTTATTTTTATTTCAAAACTAAGTATATATAGGTATGTCCTACTAACGACAAAATACAAATCATTATGATTGTAGGTGTATCTAAGCTCAATTGAAACTAATCAACACTATGAGAGACACGAAACACTCATGGGAACTTTGGTTCTATATATGTGTTTGTGTGGCATCGAGAGGAAGAAGACGGCTAGACGGAACAACAAGCACTGCGACTGCGTATCATGGCCATGGTCCATGGCCCAAGTCCCCAAGCCCAATGTGACAACATGCAGCATAACCAACATTCACACCAGCCCTACATGCAACAATAACATTGGGCCCTCACAATCTCAAACTTTGTTTCGCTTGTTGTCTAGCGCTAACAATTATGAGTACTGAGGGGTGACTGGCGTGGAACACCCTAGCACTGCCAAGTGCCAGACACCACCTGCCGACCAGTTCACCACACACCACTAAGAGCATTTAGGCCACCACATACCACCACCACCTCATCTACTCTGTCTTCTCTGATTCTCTATGCCTCTGTAGTTATGGAGGGGTAGGGGATGGTGGAGACAAGGGGAGTGGAGCAACACCGACAGCGTGGATTTCGATCTCCACACGGGTGGTGTTGGTGCTGGCTACGGCCATGGACAAGGTGCTAGTGCTAAGCTTGAAGTTGAGGGAGAGGGACAATCGATTGACATCTATGTTGGGAAATTGACAACAAAATTTGGTAACAAGAGGTAAACCAAGTAACCACAATGACTCGTTAGCATTTAGTATTTTATTAGAAATGTGATAATTGATATTTTACTTGTATTGTGTATGGGTGTATAATTTGAATTCTTTTTTTTTCAAGTGTGAGTGTTGCCTTGGGATTGTTATCCTGCCCAAGTACATTCTAAGAAGAAGAGGTAAACACTTAGATGAGGGCTATACATGTGTACTATGTCATGATGATATTGAGGTGTACTTCAAGTGCAACTAGATGGTTCATCCTCGGCATTCAATGGGAGGTCCAGGTTAGCATTTGTCAGATGATAGCGCATAAAAATGCTCAGCTCCAGATACCTTTCTTCATGGATTTTTTTATGATTGGCGCCTGGTGCATTTGGAAGGAACGCAACGATTACATATTCAACCACAAGGTCCCTTCTCTTTGGCTTGGAAGCAACATTTTATAAGTGAGGTTAAGCTCCACTTATGTCACTTTAACCCCAGTCACCATCGTGTAATTATTCAATGGCTAGCATCTCTGTAATTTGGTAGTTTCTTTTCCTCCTTGTAAGGTTTGTACAGTTTGTCCTTCTGTTAGCTCCTAGCTAACAGCCCTGTAACTTCTATTTCATTTTTTAATATATTGTTCGGTGCTAGGGAGCTTTGCTCCACAGTTTCTCTTCAAAAAAAGTACCCATGAAGTCAAATTGACACTGATGTGGAATTCGTGGTTGTCAAAGTTGCATTAGATGAGAACAGGACAGAAGAAAATGGAGGTATTGATGTTACGTATAAAGGAATTATTGATCCAAATGTTCATGGTATTGATGATCCTACTTTAAATACCAGTCGATAGATTTCATCCTAACATTAGATCTGATGCTAAGAGGCTTTATTCGTTGAAGGGACCAACCCAACCTAGGCCAGGCATTTCTTCACAAGAATTTTTATGGTCTTTTGAGCATCATGGTTTGATGATTATGATTGATTGGAATATAGTGTGTCAAAGGATGAAGCCTATAGATTACATTATTTTCTTTTTAGGAAAGAAGCCAAGCCCGGAAAGCTTGGTCATGTTGTTTTTAGTAACACATGGTATACTAATTGGAAGAATGTGACAAATAGACGATTTCCTAATTATTGTTGTGTTATTGGTGGTTGCCACAAAAAGGCAAGGTAATGTGCTGATGACTTTAGTAATCAAAGGACAAGTATCTCGCATAAGTTTGAGTCCAATACTATAAATGCTGAGAAGCGATATGAGATTTGTGTCATCGTTGCTATAGACTTTGCAAGATTTCTTTCCGTGCCCAAGGTCATGCATTATGACCTATGAGGACACAATGAATTTGAATTTTCCTTAAACAAAGGGAATTTCTTAGAGATGCTATACTAGTACAAGAAAATAAAAGATATGGTGAGGGCTACATTTGATGAATAATGTCAAAAAATGCTCGTATGACTTCTCATCAGATTCAAAAGGACCTTGCAAAAAGTTGTGCAGAAGCAACTAGTAAAAGGGATAAAAAAGAGATTAGGGATAATCTTTCATTTGTTTTGTTATTGATGAAATCTCATGATATCTCAATAGTAAAGCAAATGTTGTGATTGTGAGGTTAGTTTCTATATCACTTTTAATTAAATAGTTTCATTATCAATGGACTTTTATTACTGACATTATTGAGTAATGTCATCCACTTGTTTGTGAATAAAAAGGAATGGATATAGAAAGGTTTTTGGGTCTTGAGCATGTGGAGGACATAACATAAATTGCACTATGGAAAATTTTACTTTAGATGATTTCTAAGTATGGATTATCTATTGCTAGGCTTAAGGTACAAGAATAGATGGAGCTTCTATTGCTAGGGTTAAGGTACAAGAATAGATGAGCTTCACATATGAGATGAGAATTCAACGGATTACAAAAATAAATTCATGATGAGAACTCGTATGCCCAAGGGCGAGCCCACTAGTATTCAATGGTTTTAGTTGAATACCCAAAATATTTGGCAAAAAATCATATATACAATGTATACATGTATGTATATTGAAAAAAATAAAATATAGACCAAACTGAATAGCATGTGCAGCAACCAGTCCAAAAACACATGTTCCTACTCCTTTTCCTCCCCACTTGAAGGCCTAATAAGGCCCAACAACCCAAATTTCCCCTCACCACACCTACACTAGGAGACATTGGCGTATATTAACTTGCACCCTCGTAGTTGTCATTTTCTGCTCCTCCCTCCTTGTGAATAGTATTCTTTTCCCCAATCCCAAACCCTAACATCGGCTTGGTGGGTGAGGACGATTGGGTGGCACGACGGCGGTAGGGCAGTTGACGGACTCCGCCTGCACTTCGAGCAGCCCCTACCAGTGAGGAAGTCAGGGTAGCCAAGACCAGGATGGCGCTAGTTGCCCAAGTGTTGCAACCACGAAGTGCTCGCATAGGACAGTGCGAGCAAACGAGCGACTAGCAGTAGAACACCGCAACGCACCGATGAGGGAAGTTCTATCCTTCTAAATCTCAATTTGCAAGTTCAAGTTAAGTCTACTACTCTCTTGGCTTCCCAATTTCCCATTCAATGTATTAGGGATAGCAATTCGTGAATCACTTGACCTGAGTTTGTCCCCAAATTACTTAGTCCCTTGGTCTAGTGTACCCCAAAATTACTTAGTCCCCAAATTTATTATTTCCTATTTTAATTTTAGGTCTCAAACATGAAAAAAGAGTGGTACAATATAC